GAGATTCTTTCAATTATACATATTTCCCGCAAGATCAATAAAATTTACATAAAGAGTGATAATCTCTACCATAAACTAGCTAAAACAACTACTCTATAGCGAATATAGATAGATCCTGACTTTATTATATTAATGCAGTCGAATAACAAATTGTTTGAACACTCTTAATCTTTATAATATTTACAGATTAGATAGATTCTATTTTTTTTATTTCTTTTCTCAGATTTGACAACTACTCTGCCAATGTTATGGTCGATGGTAAACCGATCAATTTGGGATTATGGGATACAGCAGGTCAAGAAGATTACGACCGTCTCAGGCCACTTTCCTACCCTCAGACTGACGTATTCCTGATTTGTTTTTCACTGGTGAATCCAGCATCATTCGAGAACGTACGCGCCAAATGGTATCCAGAAGTGCGGCACCATTGCCCGAACACGCCGATAATACTCGTCGGAACGAAGCTCGATTTGCGCGAAGACAAGGACACTGTCGAAAAGTTAAAGGATAAAAAATTAGCACCTATTACATATCCACAAGTGAGTAAAATTAAAACACTGTCGAAAAATTAAAGGATAAAAAATTAGCACCTATTACATATCTTATATATGAAAGTATATTTTGGTAGCAACAGCAATAGGACATCATAGCTGTTAATAATTACAGATTTATATTCGTAATTATACAGAATCTGATTCAATAATTATAGACATTTCTTCTTGTATATTAGGTAAACTATTACACTTAAACGAAAGGATATGAAAATATTTTTTATTTCACTCAAATTCGAATATATTATCTGTATGCAATTTTATATACAGGTAACCTCCGCACTATATGATACAAGCGAGCTATTGGTGGAATTGGAGAAAAATAAATGGTTATGACATTTTGTAAAATTTTATAATTAGCGAAATTTAATATATAGTTTTGTACATGGAAATTTCTTCATATATATTTAAATATTTCCATACATATTTAATATGGATTCACTTTGACATGGTTTGAGAATTGAGAGCATTCTCCTTACAAAACCGTATTTTTAGAGTACAGCCCTAATAAGATGAGAAATTTAGCAAAACCTATTACAAGCAAATTTTAGCGAATTTATATGTATAGTAGAATCACTGGACAATAGACCAATGAACATAATGAAACTATACTGCAAAAGATAAGTTGTATCATGGTTCTATTGTAAAAAAGCCTCGACTTATCCAAATGTCATATTTACACCCTCTTTCTGTACCAGTCCTTTGTTTCATATGACCAGGTAGTTTTCTTATAACCGATGTTACCCGTATATTTGAAAGTACGTTATACAAGAGACTATGAAATATTTGTAAGGCTGTGATGTGTATAAAATTGAATCCAGGAATGCCTTTCCCATTAAATGTGTGAAGTACCAAATTTTTTTTTTCTGTTCCAGGGCCTGTCGATGGCAAAAGAAATAGGCGCTGTTAAATATCTAGAATGTTCAGCGCTCACGCAGAAAGGACTAAAAACAGTTTTCGATGAAGCGATACGGGCTGTCCTTTGCCCGGTGCTGCCGGTTAAACCGAAAAGAAAATGCGTTTTGCTCTAGGGACGCAGCGGACGAAAATAGGGTAGCACAAGTGCAAAAAATAAATAATTTAGACGGAGATTTACAAATGAATAACAAAAGGAAGAGCTTACGCTTTCTTTCCCAACGACAGACACAATCGAATATTAATACAAATTACATATTAACATATGGTGTTCAAATCACTCTCCCATTAATATTTTTTTTAAATATAGCCATTACGCACAATAATTTATTTTAATGCCAATTATTGTAGTAAGAAGTATTCACTACTATCATCTTTCAAAGAATTTCAGGCACTTACATAAAACAAAGTAATAAAATCATTTTTATTTACCTAGTTTTGTGCGAAATTAGTAAACAGGAATTTTCTCATTATGGTTTCATATGATCACTAAATAATAATAAGTTGGGTACTTGAATATTGACTGAGAATTTATATATCTAACGATTTTTGACGCGTATTCTTAAATTGAAATATAAATATAAAATGTTGAATAAAATCTTTTGAAAAAATTAAATAAAATTCATTGACCACCATGTATATTTGGTAACCATCAAATGCGCACAATATGTCAAACTGCTTTTATTACGCGCGGAAAGTTAATAAAGGGTAAAATAATCTACAATTTACGTAAATTAAGATTCACCGTAGTCTTTTTAATAAAACAACTGAGAAATTAATCAGTAGATAAATTAATCGAACCAACAGGCATAAATATTTTAGCCACGATCAATTGATTTAATAATAATGTTTGTATATTAATATTATGTATTTGTATAGTAAATTTTATAATATTTTTTTTGCACATAGACATATCTATATTCATCCATATTATTGGTAGCAACGAACGATATAGTTTTATAGTTTGTTATATATTTTTATATTTATATAGTGTTAGAAAAAGCACTTACAATTTTCCAATTATTCTCTTATTGTACCATCCGCCCAATAGAATTTAGAAAATTAATATTATAATTCCTGTGACTTCATGTTCAGACATCAATGTTGAATATAACGAATATAAAATATATTTAAAATAAATTCAAAACTTGCTGTACATATTAGATGTTTCAGTGGATAATCATCGGTGAAAATTAGTGCATGTTGTGTTATGTGATTCCATACATAATTGTATCATTGTTGACTGGGAAAAATTATATCATCTTTGCTACCAAAATTATATCATAAATGTTTGTCAAAATCCAATTCCATATTTCCATATAATCAATGTATCATTAATAATAAAAAAAATCTGTATTTTTGTTTCAATTTTCAAACATGTGGTGGATAGTATGACTATATTTTTTTTGCTTAATAATATGTTCCTGTATTTAAATGAATTTTCAACAAAAGTTACAGGCAAACATTTAATATAATTATCACTTTTTTATTTTTTTTTTTTAATATTTGTTTTATACTGACAATGTTACATCCATTAGGACCACTTTGCATAAATTTCGTTTCCTGTTATGTTAATTGATAAATTTATATAATAAATATTTTAAATTGTAAATAGAAAATAGTTACACAAATCTTTGTTTGGAAATTATTTTGTAAATATGCTCTAGTAAAATGTTGTAATTCTTATGTAATATTAATATGGAAGAAATGAAGTTCTTCAATACTTTAGATTATGAAATTATTTTTAGATAACTAAAATATTCCTTTGAAGTATGCTTTATGTAGAATAAATTTTATTAACTGCGTTGTAGCTTAATAATAAAATGTTTAAAAACTAATTATTGACGAGATTTATTTTTATATATTAGATTTTATTTATGATTTGCTTCATTTTTACAATTATGATCTACGGAAAATGCTTATTTAGCAATCATCGATTATATTACAGGGCTTCAATTTGAGAAACATACCTGAAAGGCGTCATTAACTATATGTACATTCATATACATATATATATATATTAACAAAACAAGGAGAACCTCAGGTTAACTCTTTTGGAATTTGATTAAACTTTGCATGGTATAGAGTTGATGGTCACAGTTTGAAATATTATAGGCCTATGAGATACGGTTTAATTATAAAAATTATAGTTTTGAAAAATATGCTTCACGCAATATATACGCTTACCGTTTTCCAGGTGAATATATCTCGGTCTGGTAAGCGTGAATACTTTGTCAGCCTGTTTTATAATTCGAAACTTAATATAACTATTTTTCTAAAATTTTCTCTTCAATTATAAAAATAACATACAATTTTATTACATTATTTATAAAACATATAGCATTTTTTTACATAATTTTCATTTCTAACCAGGAATAATTTAGTCAGATTTATTATTCAACAAACCAACAACAATTAACAAAAAAAATCATCAAATTTGCAACCGATTGAGATAATTTTTGTTTATTCTCGTCTTTATCTTTAAAAATAATTCAAAAGAAACATCTACGTATGCTAAACTTTTATCACACGTCTGTTTAATGCCATTCTAATACAAGGTCAGCATGAATCATAAATATTAAACATATGTTTGATAATAAAATTCAATGTGCTAAAAATTTTGATGTGGCGTCGTTTTAATTTTTTTTTTAAAATAAATTTAAACATTTATAGGTATAAAAGAAAGTGAAGACGCACATAAAACGTTGATACTGAAAAAAATCTGATATCACATCGATAAAGATAATTGTTATTTTACGAAATGATATAAATATGAATTTGTTTTTTTGTCCCTCGTTTTTTTTTCGTATTTGAACCGATCAATATTTCATTTTAACGTGCAATGTACAATGATATTTTTTTAAATATTTTTGTATATTGAATGTCGTGTTATCAGTCAACTCTAATTCTTAGAAGATATGAATTTGATATGGTATTTACATGAAAATGTTTATCAATAGATCAATGCATTGGCCTGCGTGATCAATAAAATATATCAGTAGCGTTTTCTGATTTAGTGAAAATCCACGTTACTTATTTTAGTGAATTTCATTATATACTTATTACCGCTGAGTTATGTAAATCATATTTTTGTCGTTCGAGTAAACAAAACGTTGGTAATTACCAATAATAAAAAATCTTATCTCTATTCAAAAACAAGACGAATACCAACGTTTCGTGTGCGATATTTGTGGACCATTAAATAATCTTAAAAGAATATTTGAAAGAATTTGCACTTGTCATCTACTTGGATGAAATATGATATAACGCTTCAAAACAATTCTTGGAGATAAATAAATAAAGATTTGCGTTTTAATAAACGCTACTGCGTCAACGTGCTATGTTGTCACAATTGTCAATAACTGTGTATTCAAAATAGAAATACAGTATCCAATGTTATTGTGAGATCACCAGTGTGTGATTCCAGACGTTATTTCGTACGCTATTACTCCATTTAATTTTCTAATTAAATTTTAAATACCCTTTTGTTTTTAATGTGATAATAATAATTATTAATCGAGTGATTAAACATTTATGCATTTATTCGAATATATAATATAATTTTATGATAATTCTAGTTAATGAAAACATTTTAATCAATGTGCAATGGCTACTGTTACCATAAGTCGAGATTTGCCTGATATAGAGGTAATATTATTATTCGATTATACTTTTTATTTTAATATATTTATAAGTAAAATGAAAAAGAACTATTTACACCATACCAATATGTTTATATCAGTATATCAGTATGATATAATTTGAAACCTGTCTTAAACCAGTTTATGACATATTATAATTTGAACAGGACTAGTTTGTAAAACTTGACAACTGTTTGAACAAAACTAGTTTGTAAAACTATTACAACTTGATATGAATTAATTTATAACAAATTTTATATTTTATTTTTTAGAATTTGTTGTCCTTGAATCCTAAAGTTCACAAGGCATGTTCGTTGGTTCCTTCTTACGTTACCAAAGTCAACAAACATCATTGGAAGCGCAACCAAGATAAATCTAGTCAGGTGGGGTGGATAATAAATAAAATTAATGCTCAATATTTATGCTTAAGCCTGTTTAAAATGCTTTATTTATTTTAGTCAGGACCTCCGCTAGAAAATGATTTTTCAGACATCAAACATACTACTTTATCGGAACGAGCTGCGCTTAGAGAAGCTGCCAGATGTTTGAAATGTGCTGATGCGCCTTGCCAGAAATCTTGTCCGACACAACTCGATATTAAGAGTTTCATTACTAGTATCGGAAATAAGGTAATATATTAAACAATATAATATATTAAACAATATAATATTTACTTGATTAATGTATTATGTTATCAAAATTTTAATTAGAATTACTATGGGGCGGCGAGAGCAATATTTAGTGACAATCCATTGGGTCTCACCTGCGGCATGGTTTGCCCTACAAGCGACTTATGCGTGGGCGGATGTAATCTTCAAGCTTCTGAAGAAGGTCCGATCAACATTGGTGGATTGCAGCAATTTGCAACCGAGGTAAGCTTGCTTATAAAGCCATTTTAACAACCACATAATATTTAAAAAAAAACATAATGAATTTTTAACATAGTCCCTAATACATGCTGGTAAATTTGAAAGGTTTTTAAGAAGATGGGAATAAAGCAACGTCGTGATCCAAATCTAGCACCATTAAAATACCCAAATAGGAAGGTGGTTTTAATAGGCGGCGGACCTGCTTCTTTGTCCTGCGCTACATTTCTAGCCAGACTTGGATATGATGATGTTACTATATATGAAAAACGAGATTACCTCGGAGGATTGAGGTAAAAGATCAAATTTGAATCAACATTGAATTTTAAATATAATTTATAATGTTACTACTGCAATTCTATTTGAATTCTATATTGTTATATTTTAGTTCTTCTGAAATACCTCAGTTTCGTCTCCCATATGATGTCGTAGATTTTGAAATTGAGCTAGTTCGCGATTTGGGCGTAAAATTTGTTACCGGTAGAGTGTTTTCTAAAAAAGACATTACTTTGAAGGTAAGTATAAAAAATATAGCTTTTAAATTAACAACTATAACATTTTCTAAAATTGTTATCAACAGAGCTTGCTAGATTCCGAAGTGTCGTCAGTATTTCTAGGTTTTGGCTTGCCTCATCCTAGACCTGATCCAATATTTTCAGGGCTCACTGAAGAAATGGGTTTTTATACTTCTAAGGATTTTTTGCCTAAAGTTGCAAAAGGGAGCAAACCAGGTATTTTAAATAAACTGCTTTAGTACTGAGCAAAAGTATTAATACAAATTATTTTTATTTATTTTTTATTATTCTTTAGGACTTTGTGCTTGTGCTTTAGCATCATCCTCTTTACCTCGTTTAAATGGAACAGTAATTGTGCTTGGAGCTGGTGATACTGCTTTCGATTGCGCCACCTCTGCTTTACGATGCGGAGCACGAAAAGTTTTTGTAGTATTTCGAAAAGGCAGTACAAATATTCGAGCAGTTCCAGAAGAGGTAAAATAATATTATATATTGCTGAAAACCAAATAATCATTCTAAATACTACTAGGTTGAATTAGCCCGAGAAGAGAAATGTGAATTCGTTCCTTTTATGTCGCCTCAGAAAGTTGTTGTGAAGAATAACAAGGTAAACGGAGTTGTGGGAAATTTTAGATTAGTTCATTGTTTTTATTAATTTTAAATTTAATGCTACTTCAATTAATAGATCACGGCCATGGAATTTTGCAGAACTGAGCAAGATGAAAATGGCCAATGGATTGAGGATAAAGAACAAACTACGCGCCTCAAAGCTAATTTTGTTATATCTGCCTTCGGATCAGGTCTTTATGATCCTGAAGGTAAGTCGTTTTTTCATTGATATATAATTTATAATTCCTTGCATTATTTAAATTAATTGTTCATATGTCCAGTTGTCGAAGCTTTGCAGCCTTTGGAAATGCACCGAGGTTTACCACGGGTGGATTCGCGTACTATGCGTTCTACGCACCCTCAGGTATAATATCAATAGAAATTAATTTAATTTTTTAATTAGATTCTACAATACTGTAATTTGTTATTTGTTAATTCATTTGTTAATTATTGAAACTTAGGTATTTTGCGGAGGCGATCTTGCCGGCAGCGCCGATACCACTGTTGAATCTGTCAATGATGGTAAAACTGCCGCCTGGTACATGCACTGTTCTATGCAGGTTGGTACAATTAAATGAATAGAAATATATTTCAAATTAATTACATTTACTAGAAATTTTCTATTAAATTCAAAGGGTCTTCCAATGGATACTCCGCCAAATTTGCCACTATTCTTTAGCGATGTAGATTTAGTTGATCTCTCGGTTGAAGTTTGTGGGATAAAATTCGAAAATCCATTTGGATTAGCTTCAGCGCCTCCTACTACCAGTGGTCCTATGATACGTAGAAGTTTTGAGCAAGGCTGGGGTTTTGCTGTTACTAAAACTTTTGGTTTAGATAAGGCAAAGCTAAATATATTTTTATTTATATATGATGTTGAAAATATTGTAATGAAATATATATGTTTGTCCAGGATCAAGTTACAAATGTGTCGCCCAGAATTGTCAAAGGTACAACATCCGGTCATATTTACGGTCCAGGCCAAAGTTCATTCCTAAACATAGAATTGATATCTGAAAAATGTTTAGATTACTGGCTGCAGTGTCTGAAAGAACTCAAACGTGATTTCCCCACTAAGGTAATTGTCGATAAGTTATTTGTTTTTGAAGCACTTTATATTTTCTTGCAATTTGCAGGTAGTCATTGCAAGTATTATGTGTTCATATAATGAAGCAGACTGGACCGAATTAGCGACAAAAGCAGCAGCCACTGGCGTTGATGCTTTAGAATTAAATTTGTCTTGTCCTCATGGTATGGGAGAAAGCGGAATGGGTTTAGCTTGTGGCCAGGTAAATAATATTATAATATTTATGCGCAAGGAATTAATTCACAATGTTATAAAATAGTATATCTTGATTGTCCCTTCCAGAAACCAGAATTAGTGTACAATATATCACGTTGGGTTCGCGCTGCTGTAAAAATTCCATTTTTTGTTAAACTTACTCCAAATATAACCGACATCGTAGAAATTGCTAGAGCAGCTTATGAAGGTTAGAGATTTTCTTGAAAGCTTAGCAATATAGCTTAGTATATTTTACCTATTTATATTATTCATTTTAAATATCATAAAGGTAAAGCGGATGGTGTATCAGCAATTAACACCGTGTCAGGATTAATGGGCTTGCGAGGCGATGGTACAGCATGGCCTGGAGTTGGAGAAGCCAAAGGAACAACATATGGCGGTGTTTCAGGTCTCTAATGTTTTCATTTTTTTATTTATGCCATATATTTTATATTTAATATATTAAATAAATATATATCTTGACTGTTTTATGTTAGGCAATGCAACACGGCCAATGGCTTTACGTGCAGTATCAGCAGTTGCCAAAGCTTTACCAGGATTTGCTATTCTTGGCATAGGAGGTGTAGACTCTGCAGATGCGGCTCTGCAATTTTTGCATTGTGGAGCCAGCGTTGTTCAGGTTATATTATTTTTTATTTCAAAATTTATACCATGCTGGAACAAATTATTCAAATTCATAATCACTCGATAGGTTTGCAGCGCTGTTCAAAATCAAGACTTTACGGTAATAGATGATTATTGCACGGGGCTTCGTGCATTATTATACTTACGGGCAAATCCGCCACCAGTTTTGGATAGTGATGCAGGACCATGGGATGGACAATCACCTCCGAGAACAAAGGTGCAACGGGGTAAACCAATTGCACCTCTTTGTGATGAAAACGGAAAGGTACTTTTAATACTACTTTTTATTTTAAATTAAGATATCTATGTATTTTTATTCTGTTTCAGAAATTTATTTAGTATGATAACTTATCATATTATAAGTTGTACGGCGATTTAATGATTATATGAAACAAATAGTTTTACTTAATATTTTTTATTTTCAGCCTATTCTACATTTTGGTCCTTATGCAAAGAAACGTGAAGAAATATTAGCAAAGCAAAGGCTTGAAAATGGAGTGTGCACTCCGCCAAAGCAAGGTGGTATCAAGAAAATCTCAGAAGATGAATGTAGGATTAGTTTGACTATTTTGCTTTCTGTAAAATGCTTTATCATTCCTCTAACTTTCATCATCATAAATTTAAATTATTATCTCATCATCTTTGTTACAATAATTTTAACATAAATTTAGTTCACAATTATCTGGTGGACAAGAAATGCTCTCCTAAATTTAATGCTTTTATGCTACCTGATGTCTTAAAATACTATTTCGTTTCTGTACTGACCAAAATATTAAAATCTTCTAATTATTCCGAAGTCGACTCGTCATTTGCTATAACACATGTGGAATGAATCATCGCGATTAATTGCATTGTTATGTAATCCTCATACACGAATGTTTATGATAACAATCGTATCGGATTTTTTATTTTCAGTTATTCCACGTAAAGAGAAATCAGTGATGGCACCCAGCATAGCTTCCATGATAGGATTGGCCTTAGAACGCATCGGCCCGTACAAGAAATTGGACAACTCGCGGCAAGTCGTTGCTTTGATTGATGATGATTTGTGTATCAATTGCGGAAAATGTTACATGGCTTGTAATGATTCTGGATACCAGGTTGGCCAACTAATATACATTTTTATATTTAAATGTTTTTTCTATGCGTAATCATTTATTTAAACTTTTTTATTGCGCCTTGGTAATGAATTCAATGAGCAAACATTGTTAACAGTGAAAATCTATTAGGAGTTTAATATGAAATAAAAAAGAAAAATAATGCAGTAGTAAAGAAAACAAAAATAACAAAAAATGCGTTATCAATGCTATGCATTTTTTCAGGCTATACAATTTGGTGCTGAAGATCACAGACCAGTCGTGACCGACGATTGCACAGGATGTACGTTATGCCTATCAGTTTGTCCAGTTATAGATTGCATCAGGTTTCTATACATAAATATTTATTAATCATTTACTAAATTTATATTAATATGTATATTTCTGTTTCAGTATGGTTCCTAAAAAGATACCACATGTTATTAAACGAGGAGACCCTAAAACGTTAAATGTTCATCCACTTTCTTAATAATTTAAGAAATAAATTGTTATTTCTATATAACTAATTGACCGAAATATAATATATAATTATTTTTATATATTGAAATCTCTAATATAAGCTGATGAACATATTAAAATTATAGTACTTCCAAGGTTTCTTAGCATTTATAATTTATGGTAATACCTTATCTTAATATAAAATATGAATGAAATTATTTTGAAAAGTAAACTAACAAATAAGTTTAATTTAATAGTTATTGTTGTTGGTTGTATTAATATAAACATATTTACATATGCATTATATTTATTCACTCATACATATAAATTAAAATTAAATGAATGTTTGTCAAATAACATACCAGACACATTTTTCTTATTCAAACAATTTCTGTTTATGTAGAGTGATTCATATAAAATAATATCCCGATTCTGAATTTGAATGATCCCGCTAAAATATTTCGCAAATGATTCATGCCACGAAGCACGGCCGTCTGGGGCGCTAACGCTGTTATTGTTTAGTTGTCATTTTCATATGGGCAGGCTGGGCAGGCATTGTGTGCATTTCCGAAAGTAAATTATCATATATATGAAAAACTACACGGAGTTTTTCATGTTTTTTAATATCCTTCTGATAAGACGACATTCAGAACCTGTGTATTAGTATTTATTTGCATTGTTTTTTACCAATAAGGTAGGCAGAACGCTTTACGAAACTTGCTTGACAGATATTGCGTCTATTTTGACACGCAAATCTTGCGACAAGAGTAATTTTATAAATGGAGTATTGAAATAATCATATTGTGTGTAAATTTAAATTGTGTTGTTACAGTTAAAATGGCGGGTCCTTATAATTATTCATATATTTTTAAATATATAATAATAGGTGATATGGGTGTTGGAAAATCTTGTCTGTTGCACCAATTCACTGAGAAGAAATGTAAGTATTGATATAAATAAATATTGAATGTCAATAAATAATCGCTTATAGAGTCTGGCAAATTTAATATAAATTAATATAAATATATATGTACATTGAGTTGGGTATATATATATATATATATATATATATATATATATATATATAAATATACTTATTGTATAAATAGGGATTTCCATTTTCACTAGTTTTAGATCAAATATTTGTTTCCAATTGAAAATAGCCCATTTTGGGCACTAGGGTGTGCTTTTGCACTTTGGGCAATGGCAAATCTCTTTTCTTAATTGAGTTGTAGTTTTACTCAGTTTACGTTCCTTCTCTAAGTCAGTATTACTCATTATACTTCTACTTGTTTTGTTACAGAATATCTTTTGAATAATTCAACATCACACAAACTGTTTTCATAACTGCATTAAATCGAATCGATATTAATTCATTGTATTAATTTTTTTCCTCTGCCATGATATTTAAGTAGTATTATAACTATATTTTTCAGTTATGGCTGACTGCCCACATACCATTGGTGTTGAATTTGGTACAAGAATTATAGAAGTATCAGGCCAAAAGATAAAATTACAAATTTGGGATACTGCTGGCCAGGAACGATTCAGAGCTGTGACTCGTTCGTATTATAGAGGAGCTGCTGGAGCTCTAATGGTTTATGATGTTACTCGCAGGTGTGACATAATTTTTTTGGGTTATATTAGAATTTAGATTAAAAGCTGACCTTTTTAAATCATTTTTATAATTTTTCAGGTCGACATACAATCACTTGAGTAGTTGGCTTACAGACACTCGAAATTTAACCAATCCAAGTACTGTGATATTTTTAATAGGCAACAAAAGTGATTTAGAAGCACAGAGAGAAATTTCTTATGAGGAGGCCAAACAATTTGCTGATGATAATGGCCTAATGTTTGTGGAAACAAGTGCTAAATCGTATGTAGACAAATGTTATGTGTTTAACATCAATTTTGATTCTGTACTAAGTAAAAACTCTCTGTTTTTTCTCATTACTTCTTAATAGATTTATTTGCCCTCACATTATTAGTGATTTTTGTGATAATTCTATATTTTAGAGGCCAAAATGTTGAAGAGGCATTTTTAGAAACTGCTAAAAAAATATACCAAAGCATTCAAGACGGTCGTTTGGATTTGAATGCGGCTGAATCTGGTGTTCAACACAAGCCTCCCATTCAACCAGGTCGCACAACTCAACCAGCAATTAATGGCAAGGAAAACTGCTCTTGTTAGAGTAGAAATAAATATAGATATAAAAAGACAAATATTTGCATTAAAGTACAGGTCATCTCAAACAGGAAGAGTTAGAACCAAAAAAGGTATGATTGGTTTAATAAGATTCTATTTATTATCTTTAAATGATATGCAACAATCTTTATATGGGAATTTATATTACATGTTTATCTGTACTTACATGTATGGAATATATTTAACATATATGCATATCTATTTTTATTTGTATAGATATTCATAAAAGGTATATTTGAAATTGACTTTGTTGATTAATATAAGATAGCAATAAAGTAAAAATCTACAACTAAGTTTAATTCAAATAATTTTATCCTAAACATATTCTTAATATTTTGAATTTTTATGCTAATGCCATATATAATTTTCTTATAGTTCAATATTTTTAACATATGATTCTAACAAAAACATTAAGAACTCACTTTTGCCTTTTTTGTATATTAAATTCAAATAAAATTATGATGAATATTAATATATTCTTGAGGTGATTTCAAAATTGTCTATTACACAAAATGCATTATTTTTAAAAAATTTTTGAACTCGAAATAAATTAAGTTTCGTCAAAATAATATTTGCAATGTATTAGGCACTTTTCAGCAGCAACCTTGCATAGAAAAGTAAACATGCAGAATAGTGTTTTTGATTTTGTGAATCTCAATTTTGTTTTGCAAATGTCTCATGCGATGTTATTTTTCTAGTTATCAGGGTTGTTTGAAGATTCACGTTTAAAGTATTATTGATTAATTGCACTCTCTTGAAAACTCATTAATAAATCCCGGATAGTCTAAGCCTAGATGTAATTTAACTATTGGCAAGCTAATGTATTTTTATTTTGGACACATTCCAGATTAGTGAGCATTTAATGCAAAATGTAAATGGCTTTTCCCGTAGGAATAGATGCGAAAATTCCTTTTTTCGGTGTTAAATTTTATTTGATATTTATGTATGTATGTATATAAGTATTTAAGTTATATATATATATATATATATATATATATGCGAATAAAATATTATTAACAACTTACAATAAAATTGGGCATCCTAAAATTATTTTTGCATCTACTTTGTTTGCTTTAACTTTTTGTAATCGAATTTGTATACAATTTCAAATATTCATTTCAAACTGGAAAAGTACACATTATATGTGATAATTCAGCCTCTTGTACAACATGCAATGAAATCTATATTGAAACAAAATTATGAGTACTATAAAATCAAAATTTATATACCGAGTAAATTAAGCAAACTTTGTTTGATGTTGTTAAATAAGTATTCCTTTATTAATTGTATTATATAACACTAAAAAAATTAATATAATAATAATCAATAATTTATAGAATGTATGGTCAAAATATATATATGAAAAGAGATGTATTATATACAGAGTTGAATAAATATAATGGATTATGATAATGAGGGCAATTTTGGTAATAATGACAATTTGAAACGATGTAATGATTCATTGCAGTGATAGCATTTATATAGGATTTTTGTGAGAATCTCATTTGTCTCATCAAAAAATGGGATCAACTCTGTAATCTTCGGTTTCTTTTCAAGGCTTTTAATCTTCTCGTTTGTACCTTGTGTGATACATCCCTATCACAACAAGAATTACAAGTAACGTATTGAACCTCCAGCTATAGCATAGAAAGCTCTCCCAGATCGAAAAGTTGTTTGATGGTATGTGCTTGATGCTAGGCTCTAAAATATATCACTTTCGTTAATTGTTTATGGCGAAGTAATATAAAAAACGATGCTAAAATCAATAATATGAAGAAACATCTGTAACAGTATTTGGGTTTACCAAATCTTTCAGGTCGGCTTTCATATAATTCTTTGAGTCTTTATCACACAATACTTTGCCAGGCCAATTGTACCAATAAACCAAACGCGTAGTAGAACCACATCGCAATTCGGGTAAAGGGTAAAACGTGCTGGTGATGTTATACAAAAATGGTAATATATCGTCTAAAAACCATTGTAGGCTGCAAGAGCATATCAAAGGGTTTCCCTGTAATTGAAATTATTTTAATTTGCGTGGATTTGGTTTTGATCTTGGTTTTGGTTTTGGTTTTGCAATATTCCTATCTCTTGAATATATTCATTAAATTGCTAGATTTAATTTGATTTAGTACCTACCTGTAAATCAAGTTCTATGTCGTTGGCACCGAGAGCGGCACTTCTTTCAGAGCGTTATGACTCAAATTAACTGAATAATGATTTTGTGAATTTAATTTTGTATTATATTTTTTATAAATTCGTTATCTACTCACACTACATAAATTTATATTTTCAAAAGCATCATTTTGTATTTTAACCAGCAATTCACAATTTGAAATGCTCAGATGAACACAAGGTTTATTTGATTCGACAAATATTCTGCCATCTAAAAATTCAATATCTTATTAGAACATTTGTATAATAAAGATTTCATATCGTTTGGGCTCAATATATTATTACGTATGTTTTCGAGT